CACACACACACACACACACACACACACACCCTGCCTACTGCCCGAAGATGACTTGGATAAGCTCCAGCATGCCCGCAACCCTTATGAGGATAAGAAAATGGATGGATGGATGGATATATCTTAATCACCAGAGATGCTGATTATTTGGAATATGTGCAGAATGATACAGGCATATTTTTCCAGTCAAACTTGACCGAAAAAGTTTTGCTCTGACCCAAGCAATGCCAATGTTATGGTGGGTCGGTGTGCTGGCCTTGTGAGGTGAATCTACAATCTGTGTGGTTCAAGAATCAGGCGTCGTACTAAAATTGTTTTACATCGGCCAGCATTGCTGATTTTGAAGGACATGGGTTGATTAGAGTGACATGGCAGCACGTCAAGGCTGAAATCTGATTTGAAAAAAAAAGAAATCTACTGAAAACAAAAAAAAAATCTACCAACCGCATATACGTACTGGAAGACCATATATTTTAATTTTACATTGTGAATGTACCAACGCCAATTCCAATGAAGGTGGGCCAAAAATAAAAACAAAATACACCAATTTGCAAATCATTTTCAACCTGTATACAATTGAATATTCTACTCTAGAGATGAAATACAGTATTTAATGTTCAAATTAATCAACTTTTTTGTTTATTTCCAAATATTTACTCATTTTGATTTTGATGCCCCAAACACATTCTTAAAAAAAAACTGGGACAGGGGTATGTTTCGCACAATGTTACATCACCTTTCCTTTTAACAATACTCAATAAATGTTTGGGAAATTAGGACACCCATTGTTGAATCATTACACGTGGAATTGTATTTCCACTACTTGCTTGATGTACAACTTCTTGCTGAGGAATGTGAAGATGTTGTTTGGATGGCAATATATGTTTCCCCAAAACCTGTGTATACCCTTCAGCATCAATTGTGCATTGACAGATGTGCAAGTTTCCCATGCCATGGGCTCGAGTAAACCCCCAAACCGTCACAGATGCTCGCTTTTGACCTTTGTGCCTCGAACAATCCGACTGGTCCTTTTGCTCTTTGGCCTGGAGGACACAAACTCCATGATTTCCAAAAACAATTTGAAAAATTGACTTGTCAGACAACATCACACTTTTCCACTTTGTGTCAGTCCATCTCAGATGATCTTGGGCCCAGAGAAGCCAGCAGTGTTTCTTAGTGTTGTTGATATGCATGTAGGACTTTTGCTTTCCATGCAAAAGTTTAACTTGCTTTTGTAGATTGATGCAGCAACTAACTGTTAACTGACAATGGGGTTCTGAAGTGTTTCTGAGACCATGGGTCTCCCAAACACAATGGTGCCAGTTTTTAAATGCAGTGCCACCTGACGGATCAAAGGTAACGAGCATTCAAGGTTGTTTTATTCTGGACAATAGATAATGAAATCCTTTCCATTCCTCTACTTTTCCTGTCATGATTCTGTTTGTGACCAACAGGTGGCACTGTAGGGCTCCCCCTGCAGCTGCACACCTTTTGGTCGTTATGTCATCAGTTGTATAAAAGGACTCCCGCCCAACCGCTCATGGTCGGGTCATTGTTTGTTTGTTGCTGTTTGTTTGCTACTGTCATGTTTGTTCTCAGTCATGTTTCGGTCATGGTTAGTTTTTGCTTCAGTCATGGTTTAGTTTGCTACTTTGGATTCTTTTTGTTTTCAGGACTTTGTTTGTTTAGGATTTAGTTTTCTCTGTGTTTTAATACAATCTTTCAAATACACCTTGCTCCTCCCTCTTGCCTGCTTTTTGGAGTCCACCACCACCACGCAACGTGACATTCCCAGTCTTTTGGTGACCCTGTCAACTTTTTTTAAACTTGTTGCAAGCAACAATTTTCTAAATGAGAGAATATTTGCACTCACACAAAAAAAAAACAAGACTCCTCAGTTTTAACATTCCATATAACTTTGTAGATATTCAACTGAATATACTGTACAGTGATGTAGGTTGAAAAGCATTTGCCAATCATTGTACTGTATTCTGTTTTTATTTATGTTTTATACAACATCCCAACTTAATTGGAGTTTGGGGTTTTTAGGTCAGTGTTTCTGATGGCATAACAGGCCTTACTGGCCCAACACTCAACTCAACACTGTTCAAAATTGATAAGTGGAAAAGTGTGAAGTATGGAGTGCTAACAGTGACATGATGATGTTTCAGGAGCTCAGTATTTTGACAACACGTCTCCAAAAGAAAAGGAGGATGACATGGTGAAACCCAACAGTGAGCATGTATACTACTGGGAGGTGACACCTGACGTCTCGCCCAAGCCCGCTGACCCCGCATGCCTCACCTACTCGTACATCTCCCACATGAACTTGGTGGAGGACTTCAACTCTGGCCTCATTGGCGCTTTGCTCATCTGCAAGAATGGTGAGAACATTTGACTGTTGAAGGAAAAGTACAATATGGATAACTTGTTTGTTGCAGGGAGCTTGGACGAGTCAGGCATGCCAGCTGGTGTCAAACGAGAGTTGGTCCTACTCTTTGGGGTCTTTGACGAGCGAGAAAGTATCTATAAGCCAAAGGACCGGTCCTTGGACCACGTCCACCACACCATTAATGGTTATACCAAGGGAGCACTACCTGGTAAGTCAGACTGGTCCTAATCTCACTAGAAATGAGCTACTCTACTGCTACAAACAAGCTCACATCAATAAATGTCAAGATACATATTTTCCTTGGTGGAGGTAACCGTAACAACCAGGAAGTTTTCACTTACGATAATAGACCAATAGTCCAATAGACAGAAGTGCAATACATGAAGATAAATCCAGTGGAAAAACGAAAAGTTAACACAATCCAAATTGTTCTCAGTTCAACTCAACTCAACTCAACTCAAAATTGTTTACAACCAAATTATTTGACGATACAATTTCAGGACTGTGCTTGTTTTGCAGGTTTGAGCGTATGCGCATATTCCTCGGTGAATCTTTACCTGCTGGCCATGAGCTCCGAGCCAGAGCTGTTCTCGGTGCACATCACAGGGCAGGTGCTGCAGCACATGCGCCACAAGGTGTCGTCCTTGGGCCTCATCAGTGCCTCCTCGACCACCGCCAGCATGGTGCCTGTGCACATCGGCCGCTGGATGCTATCATCGCACGTGCTCAAGCATATTGAAGGTCAATACACGAAGTAGCATCAATACTTTTAAAGTGACGCTGGCTTGACAAACAAACGTATTGTAGAGGGCATGCATGCCTTCTTGGATGTGAGAGAGTGTGAGGGCATTCAAGCACCCCGGCGGAGGATTAGCCCCCAGCAAAGGCGTGAAAGCACGGAGTGGACATACTACATCGCTGCTGAGGAGGTCGTCTGGGACTATGCACCCAATATGCCCGAACATATTGACAAGTAAGAAATCAACACTGATAAATCATTTTACATGGTTGATCGATTCGGTATTCCTCTGAAGATGAACACCCAAATGTGTGTAATTCAAGAATCATTCTAATGGGCTGTATTATTAGATAAGGCCAAGGCTTATCTGATAGACCTCGATCTCCTGATATTTTTATTTAGGAGCTACAAGCTCCAATACCTGCAACAGTCCCCAACCCGCATTGGCAGGAAGTACAAGAAGGTCAGGTACACATTGTATAATGAGTCTTTCACAGAACGTATAGAGAACATGCAGAGGAAAAGTGAGCTTGGCATTTTGGGTCCGGTAATAAGAGCGCAAGTCAGAGACGTCATCAAGGTAAGACCACATTCCAGTAGAAAGACGGCATCAACTCAACTTACTTAGAGCTCACTAAAATTACCCCTTGACAGATTGTATTCAAGAACATGGCCTCCAGGCCATACAGCATCTATCCACATGGACTAACAATCAAAAAGTCAGAAGAGGGCATGAACTACCCAGAAGGAGGTAGTGTGCTTCTCTTTACACAGTTAAAGTGAAACTCTTCTGAAACAACTCTGACATAAACATGTCCGTGTTTATAAGGCAACAAGACGCATGCCGTCCAGCCGGGCGAGACGTTCACATATGTTTGGCGAGTGGCCGAGGAGGACGGGCCTCTGAAAGGAGACTCCAGGTGTCTGACACGAATGTACCATAGCGCAGTGGACACGCCGCGCGACATAGCCTCAGGTCTGATCGGACCGCTCCTCATCTGCAAGAGTCAGTCGCTCAATGTCAGGAATGTGCAGGTAAAATCCAAAGTCTAAGCCAACTTTTCACTGTTCATCAAAATATTGGCAAGGCACTTGTCACAATAGAGTGAAATTTGTTCTTTGAGTTGAACCCATCCCCTGACATGCCAGAGGACAGTAACCATGAAGCCACTGGGAAATAAATCCAATACCTTTGTCATTGACTTTCAGGAGAAACGCATGGAGGCATAGAGATAACATTTAAACTCCACACAGAAGCTGATTGAATAAATTCAAGTGAAATTAGAGAGAGAAATTCCCCAAATTCAGGTGCTAAGCGTGAGCAGAGCTCGAATTCAATGAGAGAACTTCCTACAACAAAGCACGATTTCTCCATCGTGTCTCAGAACAGGAGTATCATAATGGCTAATTTAGAGTGGAGACCACATTACTAGCCCAGGGTGTACAGTGGAGCTACATTCACGACAGTGCGTTGATTAGTCGGCAGAGAATTTGGAAATAGCGTCAACATCTAATGGGATCTTTTTTAGTGGAATTTAAATGTTCTCCCATTGCCTTTATTGTTTTTTTTTTCCCAGGGACTCCTAACAAAAAGGTAAGAATCATTTCCAGTCAGTTCCATTGACAAGGTGCAGATATGACGTGATCTGGATTATTTCTGATGGCTCTAAGCATCTTGAATGAAAAGAGCAAAGACAGATCAGAATTTACTGTTCCAAAGCATTCTTCTAAACCCAACTGTACTTCTTGATCTGCTACATTTGTAAGACTTGTAACACTTGTCCAATTTGAAAAATAAACTACTGACAAATAATTGTTGTCCAACAGGTCAAATCAGATAAAGAGCAACACGCTATGTTCGCTGTGTTTGATGAAAACAAGAGCTGGTACCTGGACGACAACATTCGGCAGTTCTGCGATCGATCCCAAGTCAACATGGCAGACCCCAGCTTTTACAAGTCCAATGTCATGCACAGTACGTCAACCTGTAATCTGACTGGATATGCACGCTGTTAGTTGATTCACATTTTTGTTCCAACAGCTATCAATGGCTATGTGTACGAGAGTGGAGCACTCTTGGGCTTCTGCAACGGTGAAGTGGCAACATGGCATGTGTCCAGCATTGGCGCACAGGACTACATTCAGACGGCAACGGTCTACGGGCATCCATTTGAACTGAATAACCGCATGGAAGACATCCTTAGCCTCTACCCAATGACTGGCGATACCATTACAATGAGGATGGAAAACATTGGTCTGTTGACAATGAATGTACAATTCTATTATAATTTAGAGTGAGTCTATTCCTCTATATTTTTCCTTCCAGGTGTTTGGCTTCTGGCATCGCTGAATTCACATGAGACAACCAAAGGAATGCGCTTGAAGTTCCAGGATGTCGAGTGCTTCCGTGACCATCGCTATGAGTACTCCGAATATGAAGAGCCAGGAAAAATGGAATTTGATTTGTGGAAGCCCCCGACTAAGAATGAAATCCTGAATAAGAAGGAGGAGGAAATGACAAAGCCAAAAGAGCCTACCCCAAATACAGTGGCGACTGATGACTACACAGAGATGTTTGCTAGCGAGTTAGGACTCAGGTCACTGAAGAATCAAACTTCAGTGGATAGTGTGGAGAAGATTGACTTATCTTTTCTTGACTATGATGCTGTTGATGTGCCAGATGGAAAATTGACAATTAGAACAAAAAACTCAATATACGGTAGTACAAGCGTGTCACAAGATGAAGGCCCAAAAAGTAGTGCTTCTGGGTTGGCTCCAAGTCGTGATAATGAAAGCGCTTCCAAGATGGATAAAACAACATTTTGTAACACAACAGCTTCATTAAAGTCCGGGAACATATCAACCTTAGGTACCAATCGGACTGAACCAACACTTGCAAAGTCAACATTAGAAGCTGAAAATTTGAATATAACTTTAACGGCTGATAATCTGACCTCTCTGTGCTTGGAGGAGAAATCAAAAGTAAACCAGACACAAGGGGACTTATTTCCCGACTCTGACATGAGCAACATTACAATCTTGGAAAGCCAAAACAGCACTGCAGTTGATGCTGTCCACCGAGCTAATGCAACTAGTGACCTTGAGTATGGACCTCTGAAGTCAGCAAAGAGTACCAGCTCAAACGGTACATCTCCCTTAAACAAGACTCAGATCTCAGGTATCTCGCAGCCCATTGATGGTCTCACATCAGGGGATATAAACGATTCAGAAAGCAGTGAGGAAGTGTTTATATACCTCAACCAAAACCACACGGAGGTGATTAAAACCACCTCTGTGAAGACAGAGGGTCACAACTGGATTTACGATGGGACTCCCAAAAAGGTACCAATGGAAATTCCAGACCACATGGTGAAATACATGAAGGAAACCCCGAAACCCAAAAAGACAACAAAGATCAAGATGGTTAACATCCGACAGTGGCCACAGAAGGGACAAGGTATGAAAACAAGGAAGCGGAAAGTATACAAGCCGGAGGTCACAAGCGGTTTACCTCTCTCTCCTCGTGGATTTAACCCTCACATAACCCCAAGGGGGTCACGCCCCGCTTCACCACGAGCCGCCCCAGATGAGGAACAGCTCATTAACATGCCTGTGGTCATTGGTGTGCCTAGGCCAGATTTCAGCGACTATGAGTTTTATATCCCAGGAGATGAGCCTGACCATTTATCTTTAGATAGGCAGGATTTGAAGGCAGACGAATATGAGTATGTAAACTACAAAGACCCCTACAGCGCTCATCAAGACCTCAAGAACTTCAACATAGAGGAGACCGCTAAATACTACTTAAAGCATTCAGGGTCGAATTTCAAGATGTACTTCATTGCTGCAGAGGAGGTTGAATGGGACTATGCTGGCAGTGGAGAGAGGTAAGCTCAGAACTTGGAGCAAATTTTCAATAAAAGTCAAATAATTCAAATCTATTTTCAACAGAAAGCAGGCAAGATCGCACCATAGTCGCCGGAACACTAAGTTCAAGAAGGTGGTATTCCGTGGTTACACGGATGGGCTCTTCAAAACTCCTGAAATCCGTGGTGAGAAGGAAGAGCATCTAGGTATCCTGGGGCCCGTCATCAAGGCTGAGTATGGACAAAGCATCATGGTAAGATAAACACTATGTGGTTGTTTTTGTGTTGTTATGCATTCTTTAAAACTGCTTATTGTTCAATACATGATTACTCTGTCTGCAGGTGGTGTTCAAAAACAAAGCCAATCGTCCATTCTCCTTACACCCGAACGGGGTTTCTTATACCAAGTGGACAGAAGGTCTGTCCTATGAGGATAGTTCCAAACCCTGGTACAGAGATGATAATGAAGTTCCACCCAATGGCAATTTCACATATATCTGGAAAGTTCCACGAAGGCCTGCGCATAGTCCAGATGAGCCTCACTGTCAGACTTGGACCTATTATTCTGGTGTTAATCCTGTGAGTACTTAAAAGTACATGTGTTGGTCCTGGAGGAAGGGGTCATTGGTTGTGAAGTCAAGATAGAGTTCCCCTCAGTGATTGTAGGTGTGTGTAGGTGAATTGTGAACTAACTGGCGAACATTCGAAGGTCTTTCACCTACAATGGTCTTGAACAGACAGCAGATTACAAAATTATAGAAATTGTAGAAATAGATGGAAGATGGACATGGCTGGCTGGCTGGCTGGATGGATAGATGGACGGACGGACGGATGGGTGGTACGAGAATGTTTTCACATGTATTTCTCTTTAGGAAAAGGATATCCATTCTGGCTTGATTGGACCTTTGTTGGTGTGCCCAGAGGGCACTTTAAAGAATGTGACAAACACAAGGGAGTTCGCGCTGCTCTTCATGACGTTTGATGAGTCGCAGAGCTGGTACTATGAGGAGAACCGCGAGCTAATGCAGCGGAAAAGACGAAGAGGAGCTCTGGACCCTATCCTCAAAGAGACCCTCCAGTTCCATTGTAATCATGAATCCCACAATGTGGTCGTTGGTCCATCAATGCAATCCTCAAATTGATGTAAACCATATGAGAACATTGGTGAAATGTCAATGTACGATATTTCTACAGCCATCAATGGTATCACGTTTAGCCTTAAGGGCCTAAAGATGTATACGAACCAGCTCATCCGGTGGCACCTGATCAACATGGGATCTCCCAAAGATTTCCAGAGCATCCACTTCCACGGACAGACATTCTTCCACACGACAACCACCAGCAACAGACACGCAGTCTATCCGCTGCTTCCCGGTACACAACATCTTTCTCGCTAAGCGTGCGGTATCATACAAGTTGCCTGATCACTTCTATGTTCAGGAAGTTTCGCTACCCTGGAGATGTATGCATCCAAGCCTGGCCTTTGGCAGCTGGAGACAGAAATTGGCATCAACCAGCAGCGAGGGATGCAGACGCTCTTCTTAGTCCTTGACAGCGGTACTACCTACTCACTAAGTTCAACCTCATCCAGGACTCTGAATGCTATTCGTAGTTTGTGACAGTTGTTGCATGTGTTCTGAAAGACTGCTTCCACCCTCTGGGCTTACAATCGGGCAGTGTGAAAGATGAACAGATCACAGCCAACCAGAGCCGAGGTAGTCACAGCACCAACGATCTTAAGCAATCGGTTCGAAAAAAGAAAGACAGGGTCTTACACTGTTTCCAACTTTAAAGGATACTGGGTGCCACATCTTGCCAGATTGAACAATAAAGGCAAATACAATGCGTGGAGCACAGATCAGAGCAACAATTTCATTCAGGTATGCCCAAAGGTTTCTGATCCATGTAGACAGCATCTGCTACTTGCCTATCCTCTGCTGGGATATAGGTGGACTTTCTGCGTCCCGTGGTGATCAGCCAGGTGGCCACACAAGGAGCCAAGCAGCTCTTCCAATCCCAATTCGTCACAAATTATTCCATATCCTACAGCAACGACCGCAGGAGCTGGATCCTCTACAAGGGAGACAGCAAATACCCAATAAAGGTCAGAAGGGTTTGAAATATTACACTTATGGATATTTTACCATGATACCATCCGCCAGCAAAAGCCGGCTATAGATGAAGCTTTCACTGATGGCACTAATAGTAAACAAACCCTTACTTGTTATTAGACCAAGGAAGAGTGACTGAAGAGTGACTGAGAAGATAACCTTCATGGAATGAATGATGCTTTTTGCCTTCCCTGCCGCCTCGTGTAGTTGCATGAAAAAAGATGTCAACTGCTTTGAAGTGGGGCTGAAATATGAATTGGATTCCCAAGTCATCTCGATTTGATAAAGTGTGATTTTTTTAATAGCAAAGGATGCAGTTTAAATGCTCATTACTTTGTTTAGAGTGGAGTGGAGGGAGGGAGAGTGGGAGGGAAAGAGGTGGCTGTTCAATGCGCTAGCTTTCAGCTGCGATAGCTAGCACCCCAAGTGAGGTTTCCATCTCACGAGACAGAAAGTTGAGTGATTAAGAAGTGCAGTCCAATTTTATATACTCGATCATAATGCTTCATATGCGAGGGAAAGAGGTGGCTGTTCAATGCGCTAGCTTTCGACTGCGATAGCTAGCACCCCAAGTGAGTGATTAAGAAGTGCAGCCCAATTTTATATACTCTATCATAATGCTTCATATGTCTTGACTTTAGTATCCTATAATGCATAATGGAGTTGACATTGTTTGTTGCACTAAATATGAACTGTTGAAAAATACATTAGAAAACGACCTTAAGAAAATCTTAAATAGCAATCGCCATTTCGAGGAAAAAAAAAATTAGATTCTTTTCCATAATCTTTCAACTGGAGGAAACTGTGATCAGTGAAGAACTGTTTTTTGAAAGGAAATTTTCTGGCAGCGCAACGCCAGACACAAGATGTTTTGGTCATCGTTTCAGTTCAGGTCATGGGTAGTCACTGACTTTTCTGCCATCCAGGAGTAACCTGGTGCTGATTCTGTGCAAACATTCCTAAATGCAATATAAGACAGAAAGTACAAACTGCTATCCTATGAGAAAAGTGTGTTGTCGCCTCTTAACACTTCGGTATCACTTAGGTGTTTCCTGGGAACCAGGAAGCCTATGTGACACAAACAAACACTTTTTCCCCACCCTTGATTGCACGGTTCATTCGGCTCCACCCTGTGCATTGGTACAACATGGCCACGGTGCGCATGGAGTATTACGGCTGTGAGCTCGATGGTAAGATTTCAAGTCAAGGCATGTCAGAATTTGAGATGCTTTGGAATGAGGTAAATGTGACTTTTGTGGTCTACTACTTCTTGGTCAGGCTGCTCAGTCCCTCTCGGGATGGAGAACGGCCTGATCGAGGATCGTCGCATTTCGGCAAGCTCTGTGAACTCCAACTGGTATTTCGGAGCCTGGAGTCCCTTTTTTGCTCGCCTTAACAAACAAGGAGCTGTCAACGCATGGCAAGCAAAGGTAAGAGACATCCAAGATTCCACGACCTCAAGAAGCTCAACTACTCATACCTGCTCTATTATTGTTCCTGCAGTACAGAGACATGAAGCAGTGGCTTCAGGTGGAGCTGCCGGATGTCATGAAGATAACGGGTATTGTCACTCAAGGAGCCAAGTCACTGGGGAAAGAAATGTATGTCACCACATACACTCTAAAGTACAGTGACAATGGCATCCACTGGCGCGACTACGCAGAGGATGAGGACCGACCAGCTAAAGTACTTTCTCTCTCATGGTGCTGGATGAATACCCGTCACTGTTTCCAAAATTCTAACCTGCCTCTCCTCACGTTTATGCCTAAATCCAGATCTTCTTTGGGAACACTGACAACAACGAACATGTCAAGAATTTCATCTACCCTCCCATTTTTTCACGCTTCATCCGAATCATCCCCAGAACCTGGATGGGCTCCATCACACTGCGGGTAGAGCTGTTGGGCTGCAACTTTGAATGACATCGATCATCATGCGCAGCACACTGCCATATGAATCAAAAGATTCTACATTTCCAACGACAACAAGTCTGAGTTTTGATTGAGTCTATCAGATTATTTTGCTCCCATACCTTAATATAGTCAGCAAACATGAAGAACAGCTCTGCGTACGATGTGGTGAAATGTTACACAACTGCAAACTACATCTACAAAAATATTATAAATGAATATTTTGCAGTCGATCCATCCATATTGTTAAAAAAAAAAAAAAATCCATAAATTCTATAAATGTTTGGCAGCTTGGTTGCTGGATTATTTCTGTAAAACTACATTAATTCATCTTTACAGAGTACCACATATATTTTACAGTATAGTATGTTAAGTAAGACAACAAATACAGGTTTTAGGTGGCAAATTGAGCAATTATTTTATGTTGAATGAATACCAATATGCTAATTACATGTTATATTTTCATAAGATTTGCATGCAGTTGTCATTTATTGAACATTACGCAGCATTTCATAATCGGCGCGGTGCCTTCTAAGCCATCGCATTTACATTTTGTTGTATAGTGAATCACCACACTTCTACTTTTCATGTACCAGCAGTTGCCAAGTCAACTTCGACAACATTGATCAAGTGGCTGCAAAGACATTGTTTATCATACCATCCACAATCACAGTTTTGTTCAATAATATGCACACATACCAACCTTTCCCAAGAAACTCGTCATACAGGCAGTAATTAAGAGCACCATGTAGCTGACATTGAGTTACTGGACAACGCCTTTCTCTTTGCCATTTGTTTTCTGTTTGTTATTCTGTTTCTTGTCTTGTGTGCGGATTTGCTAGCTAACAGCTAATTTGCAGAAATGCCCAACGCCATAATGAATTGAGCTCATTAATTGAAGTCACATCTAAGAAGCACAGTGACTGGGAAAAGCTTTAACAATCTCTGAGTGCACAAAGAAAGTAATAAACTTCATCTAACAGAAATGCAGAAATAATAAACAAATGCATTGTTTGGGGAAGTGTAAATAATTTTGGATGGCATGATAAACAATGTTATTTTGAGACTGTAATATTGTGTTTAGGTGTTTTTTTTTCCGATGACAGTTGCACAATGTGTAAACTCAATGGTAATTCTGCAGAGGGATATTCTTTTAACCTACTTGGAGTCACAAATTTACATTTGTGAATGGTTATGTAATTGACAAAATATTACTGTAAATTAAACACCGTTCCAGTGTTTGCCTCGTTGCGGCCATCAACAACCATGCATTTGGAGTTCTACATATTTTATGACAGAACTTACATACACCTCTTATGAACTGCTGTGAGTAAAGATAATATAGGATGTTATGAGATGATATATGATTTTTATCCATCCGTGAAAATGAATGTAAGTGGGTGATCATGTCTTGAAGAAAATAAATATCAACATTGTTTACATCAGTGCAACATGTGAGCCATGATGACACAAACATTGATGTCTTCTCATGGGGTGGGAGGGTGGGGGCTCGGAGGTGTAATTTTTTGCACCTCCGGTGTTACGGCCCATCTTCAGTGGCGCCCAGAGTCAACAGTCCCACGCAGCTGCAAACACACATCCCGTTTATTCATGATCTGATGGCGTCGGAGCGAGAGCAGCAGGTGTGAAAGTCTCAGCATGGAGGTTCAAGAGGTGAGGACAAATGAGCGTCATTTGGACAGTTGACCTCTGCTGAGAAGCACTTGGTCACATTTAAATGCTCTAAATGTAACTCATTTCTAAGGAATTGAGCTTTAAACTTTAAAATGACAATGATTTGTTGGAGAGAGGTTTTGTCTGCTTCCTGACAGCGGTCAAGATGCCTTCAGGTAAGGTCAGGCTGAAGAACGGCAGCACTGTTTCACTTGGACATCTTTTCATGTATGCCGATGTGCTATTTATTTGTGTTGTGTGCAGCTCAAATGTTTAAAAGCGAGCGTGAGTTGAATTTCTCCTTGAGGAATTGGCCTTCCAGTGGGGAGTTCTCCCCGTGCTTGTGAGACTTTGCTCCGAGTACTCTTGCTTCGGCCCATGCACATTCAGACATTGATGAAAGGCCAGGTTGTTAAATCTGTGGTACTACGAATTACCAGAAGATGGCGCGCTGACTTCACATGACAGGTTATGTCTTGTGACCCCCCTCTGAAATCCATCATGCAGAACTCCAGTAGAGAAACACAGACCGTGTGGTTCATATATATAATATTTAAAGATAGATAGAGAGAGAGAGAGAGAGAGAGAGAGAGAGAATTATTTTTTTATTTTCACATTTATGTCTACCCCACATTTTTTGTTTTCCATCGTTTTTCATGGAATCAAATGTGTTGCAAGTGCCCATGCACCAGTACATCCAGCCAGCCATTTTATAATACTCTTGGCCTCACGAGGGTGACAGGCTTGTTGGAGCCTATCCCAGCTGTCTTCGGGCAGTAGGTGAACTGGTTGCCAGCCAATCGAAGGGCACACATAGACGAACAACCATTCACGTTCACAGTCACACCTATGGACAATTTATAGCAGGGGTGTCAGACTCATTATTGTCGCGGGCCGCTTTGGGGTTACATCTTCCCTTCGATGGCCCGGTACAACCGTGAAACTGAATACATGTTTATATATTATTACTTGTACACAACTAATTGATGGAATACCCGTTTTGAAGCCAGTCAACTATGATAGTTTGTTCAATTGTTGTTTGAGTGAGTTTTAATAGGGTAACAAAATTATCACAACAATCTCAACATTATTTATTATACATAACAATTTGACATTTTGGTGCAAATTTTAGCAAGGATCATGGAAGTTGACGCACATGATTTGATTTCGCGGGCCACATAAAATGATGTGGCGGCCCGGATCTGGCCCCCGGGGCCTTGACTTTGACACCTGTGATTTAGAGTGTTCATTCAGCCTGCCATGCATGTTTTTGCAAGGTGGGAGGAAACAGGAGTACCCAGAGAAAACCCACGTAGGCATGGGGAGAACATGCAAAATCCACCCATGAGGGCACCTCTGCACTGTGAGATGGACGTGCTAATCAGTTGACCACCGTGCCGCCCTGCACAAATACAAAGCAATGAAATTCACTTTACAGTTGCAACTAATCTAAGAGACAAAAAACAATGACGGACAGAGGCAGACAGAACAGAGGAGCCTGACGCTTCGCTCAAAACGGCGCCGTTTTTTCTTCGATGCGTCCATCCATTATCTGAATCACACACTGGTTTCGGCGGTTTTTAAGAATATGGGGGGTTTAAAAAGAAAATTATTAACAGTCTAGTTGTTATTTGTTACTTGTGAGTCATTTCTAAGTAGTGTGTCATTGATACAGTCAGCCCAATAATGTTAGGCCTGTTGGCTTGAAAATCTGCACAGTGACAGGCTGATGAGTATAAATACACGGCTGCATCATTCCGAGTGACACAACTTGTTTACTAACACTTTTTTATGTAGACGACGTCAGGGAAGTGTAACTTCAGCCGTGTGACACACACACACACACACACACACACTAACCCCGCCCCTCCTCTGCAAGACTCTTCAAAAGCAGGAGCGCGCACTTTGGTGCTACGAGTTCAAGACCTTCGGGAGAAAGAACACAGAAAGGCGGCGTGGAGGTTAAACGGACGCACGTAACAAACACACACGTTAGTGGATATTCCCAAGGGAATCATGAAGTCTCCGAGATTGGCGCGCCAAGGTAAATTGGGTACAGTTCCACACGGTCCTTTAGCCACCGTGCGCGCTCATCCTCGAACCTTTCTCTCCTGCGTGCAGCCAAGCTGGTGGTGGACGTGGACGACCTGGACGAGGTGCTATGCGAGTTCGACGCGGTGATCGAAGACTTCACATCCCCGATGGAGAAGCGTCACTTTCGTTACGACGAGCACCTGCGCATCGCCAAGAGGCGGAGCAGCGCCAGCGTCAGCGACAGCGGCATCAGCGACACCGAGAGTGAGTTGAAAACCAAGTGGTGGCAACAGTGCTGTTTACTTTCAGTCTGGAACAACATATACTTGTGAGAAAAAAAAAATACTCTCGTAAAAGACTTGCTGTTTCTACTCCTTAACGTAATCTAAAATGAACCAGTAGGACTAAAAGTAAAAACAATGCCCCTTTCGATAACCTGGCATGCAAAATAGTTCCCCTCTTGTATTAACATTGGGAATTGCCTGTCGCAGCAAATTCATTATTCATATTCCAAATAGGTCTTTTGCGATTGCCGATGCTATCCACTTTTCTTTTTCCTCTTAGTCATAGGTTTAAGTATTTGTCTAATCATTGGGAAATTTCCCTTTTGCAAAGAAACTTTCCATATATGTTTGCTTTTTACTTATTTTACTAGCTTGTGGGTTTAATAGTAACATTACGCGATCGAGACAATATAATATAATTGACACATGTAACGCAGCGAATGTTCACTTTTCAAAATAAAATACAATATAATATAATTGACACATGTAACGCAGCGAATCTGTTCACTTTTCAAAATAAATTTTTTTTCAGCCTCGGATGATAAACACAGCGGAAGTCCTGTACGTCTCATCAGTGCAGCCCGGTGGTTGGGAAACATTCCTACATTACCTACAATACAGAATCAAACAACCTTCTAGAGCAGGCATGTCCAGCTCCGGGCCTGGAGGGGCAATGTCCTGCCTGTTTTCCAGCTCTCCCGTTTGCAACACACCTGATTCAAATGATTAACTCACCAGCAAGCTCTGCAGAATGGAAATCGATCCTGTTCATTTGAATCAGGTGTGTTGTAACAGGGAGAGATGGAAAAAATGCAGGACAGCGGCCCTCCAGGACTGAAGTTTGACATCAATTTTCTAGAGTAGGGCAATGATTAAGGGAAATCTTTCTTCTTCGATTCTGGTGGGTGTCGTTGTTAATGCTCCCACACGTTCTAAATTGTCAAAGTGCATCACAGTATTATTTATACTTACTAATAAATACATCTATTTTATTTTATGGCTATGTATGTACTTTTCCATGCAGTATAATAACCATGTAGCCGCTGTACCGCTTGTCCTCATTAGGGTCACAGGTGAATTGGAGCCTATTCCGGATGACTTGGGGCAAGAGATGTGGTACATCAGGCTGAATTGGTTGTAATCACAAGATGCATATCATTCATTTGGTTGCCCTGTGACTGGCTTGTGACTATCCCAGGGTGTACCTTGCTTTTCGCCTCAAGATAGCTGAGATGGGCTCCAGTTTATGCGTGACTCTAATAGAGATCGTCTACAAAATGTATGTGGAGATGGATGGATTATTTATACAGAACATATCAAGTATGAGATTTTAGTTTATTATCATGTTTACTTTAATATATGATATATTATTTCAAGGGTGGCACCTTGGTCAAGTGATGACCACATCCGGCTCACAGTTTTGAGGTTGTGGGGTTCGAATACAGGCTCCGGCCTTTGCATGTTCTCTCCATGCCTGCGTGGGTTCCGAATGGTTATTTGTCTCTACATGCCCTGTAATTGGCCAGTAGCCAGTCCATAATATAGTCCCCTGCCTCTTGCCCCAAGTCAGCTGGAAAGGCATCCATCTATGCTGCAATGACGATAAGCACGAAGCAGTATTGAAAATGGATGGATGGAATTGTGTACGGTACGCAGTCCTGTTTATATTTAATTCAATTTAAATACTAGTTCAATAGAATTTTTGTGAATGTTTTCAATGTAAAGCTACCATTTCTGATACAGGTGTTGTGTTTGAACCCCTTCGGAGTGTGCAGGTGTACCCTAATATAATGGTGCATAATGAAACATCCTAACACAACAAGCACATGTGCAAGAAAATTGGAGTGTCTGTGTGGTGAATTTACAAATTTCCTCGTGAAGTTGTTTAAGATGTGCAGCTAACTGCGGACATTATTGTCAGCATCACAGCCAGGGAGTGAACCTTGGTTGGTGTGTTATAGCGAACAGATTCCTCCACAAGTGCTACACTCTCCATGGTAGTCCCATAGTTGGTGGTGGTGTGGTCACAACATTGATTTGACCGATTATTATAATATATTTTTTTACTATTTTAAGCAGGCATAGCTCCAGCTTTTTTTTTCTTTCCTAAAGGTAAAAGCGGGGCTGAGAAAATAATTCATAAATACTGTATATTTTAAAATATCAAAATTAATTGCTGAAGGGGCTTAACTGGGGTTACACAGTTTTCCTACTTGCCTCAGTGTGCTGAAAAATGACTGGTTGCCAAGCAACAGGGAGAAACAAATGACTTTGGGCAAGAGTGGGTCACTAGTTTAGCTCCAGAATATGCGCGACAATGACTCTGTAAACTGGTATGTCCGTAGTAATAGGTTTATCGCAAAAGCCTGTTCGATCGAAACTATCGCAGTCACAATCTATGGTCAACATTGACTGTAAAGTTGAAGTAAAGTATAACCCCACCCCCAAAAAAAACATTCTGTATCATTTTAAGTAAATTGCTTTGGGTGAGGAGTCACAAGTTGTTACAATAAAGGCAGTCTTATTTTCAGGACAAGTATGACAGTATAACATTTGTTTGTCACATTTGCAACAGTTTGTGCACTCACACGCACACATTATTTTACACTCTTGAATTGTCAGTCTTCATTCCGAATATGCAGTCAAAGTATGGAAAAACATTCTTTTTCATTTTAGGTGGACTAATTGTTTGTCAGATGCTAGTTTACATGAGACATATTTCGCTGTCTCTGGACTTAAATGTCCATTTTCAATAGGTTTGTTACATCACGCAACTGTCTTTCCATTCACATACTAACATCATTTTAACTTTTCACTCAGAGGTAAAAGCAAGTTAATAAGAACGTGCCACATGCATATTTGCTTGAGAGCCACAAAGGGGGGAATCAGCATATCGGCTTCAAGTCAGTCCTGATATCCTTTTACGTGGTTTTGTGCCGATATGTGATCCGCTAGCATCCAAGTGTCAACTTTGAGGGGTTCTGATGGTGGACACATGACGCCAGGCCATTAAAGACACCTCACAGGGATATTTTTAAAAATACGATAAGCTGTATGGATTTTTATGTGACTTTTTTTGTGTGTGTGTGTGCTGAAAACAGGTCACAGTACTATTTGAAAAACATTCACGTGTTCGTAGCAGTACCGTACTTGGCAGCACAACATGCACCAAAATTGGATCTCCTTCAGCTACATTTTTTTGTTTTTTATCAAGGGTCTGACAAATGATCCATTCAGCACGTTCCCCGCTAAGTTGAGCAACGACACTCCAATTATGCTGCTTTACACTGATGTATTGAGATACAGTATTGAGATTGAGATGATTTAGTGCAATAGTGGGGAAAATGTCAATTCATTTTATGCATTATAAGCATTTGTGGTCTAAATGTCTTTTGCGGGGTGTGGGGGGGGGGGTTGTAGAAATCCATGGTGGGCCACATCAAATATTCTGGAGTGCTAAATGTGGCCAGAGCTGGCTGAACTTGCTTTCCTGAGTTGTGGCTGTGTGTTTACAAGTGTGTGTGTGTGTGTGTGTGTGTGTGTGTGTGTGTGTGTGTGTGTGTGTGTGTGTGTGTGTGTGTGTGTGAGAGAGAGCCTGATAGGAGCAAGATGTGGAACGCGATGATTACACACTCCTGCTTGTTCCAGTAACACACATGATGAGTGTGTACCGTATATGTGAGTTGATTGACAGTTTGTTTCATCTAACCAGCGCTTGGGTGTGTTTCTCTCTTAGGTGCTGACTCGCTCAACAGAAACAGCTTCAGCTTGAGCGACGAGAGGCTCCACTCACCCACCGCAATGTCCCAGATGAGCGGCGCCTCATCCTCACCGTCACCGATGTCACCAAAACGTGAGCGCACGCTCCTCATGCTTCCACATTGCATTTAAGACTCCAGGGAATTTGGAAATTGTAGGAGTCAAGGATTCAAGGATGCTTTTATTGTCATTACTCTATCCATCCAGGACAAGATGTCAAAACTCTCTCTCTCTCTCTCTCTCTCTCTCTCTCTCTCTCTCTCTCTCTCTCTCTCTCTCTCTCTCTCTCTCTCTCTCTCTCTCTCTCTGTCCCTCTCATTACAAATAAACACAAATTAAAAAGAAAAAGGAAATAGAGAGGGACCGGGCCTGCAAAAAGCCACATATAATTGACTGCCATTATAATGCATTGGAGGAAAAAGCAAATCTTAAAAAAAAAAAGATTGGGGGGGGCAAAAAAGACAGATTTTTTTTTTTTTAATTGGAAAATTTTAAAACAACACAAAATCCAGAAATATGCAAATCTGTAGGTGCCAAACTGACAATATGCAGTGTTCCAATGTCCAGAAATTTTGAAAAAAATTATCTTTGTACACAGTGCAGTAGTTCAGTTTTGTATTTCTTACAGTATTCTGTATGTAGAACGGCCTGCAATATTCGGAGCATGTTTACAGTTAAAAATACTACTTGGAGCATACTCACGAGGTCCGACCAGAGCATTCTAGTCTCATAAAAACACATGGTTAACTCACATTTCCCAGTTATCTGAACTGCTCCATTTGAAAATAAATGCTAAGCTAATGCAAACTCTCTTTATGGTGTCCTCGCAGCCAAACTGGGCGACACCAAAGAACTGGAGGACTTCATTGCCGACCTCGACAAGACATTGGAGAGTAAGCACCAACTCCTCCCTGCTGTCACATTCACTGTGTGACTCCTTTGTTACCATGCTTGAACATGAGCAATGCTAATTAGCAGTGCCGTCACACATCTCCTGTTCATCCGTGAAAGTGATAGAGTCTAGTTCGGTTCTGAAAGCTAAACCCTGATCTAGCTCGTGTATTTAGAAAAATTTCATGAAGGTGGAATGGCGATAAAGCCAAATAGGGCACGCAATGAATAAACAGCAATTCATCCGTCCAACTGGGATGCCATTTCACGATGGGAGATGTGCACACAGCCACAGCAATATGCTACCGTATTTTCCGAATTACAAGGTGCACCTAAAAGCATTGGATTTTCTCAAAAGCTGACAGTGCGCCTTACAATCCGACGCACCTTATATATGGATCAATATTCAAATTTCTTGGACGTAGTATTTTAAATGTTCTGTAAAGCCTTTTGTTACAGCTGCAGTGGTTGCGAAAGCTCGCCATAAATAAAACTGTATTTTATTGTATTCCCTTTAGCGTAGCTCTATTTAGTGGATGCATAAAGCAACCACAGCCACGATTGTAGCTTCGATTCTATGCGCCTTATAATGCGGTGTGCCCTATATATGAAAACAGTTTTAAAATAGGCCATTCATTGAAGGTACGCCTTATACTCCGAAGCGCCTTATAGTGCGGCAAATACGGCATTTTGCGGGATTCTGTGCAAAAGAGGCAAGGTGGATAAATAACTGTTGATGCGTTAATTTTAAAAGAGGCCTTGAGGAGAACCCTTGCATGAATTGTGACGTGAAAGTCTTGCGAGAAAGGTGTAACCAGGGATCCTTTCAAATGCTTTACTTCAGGCTCGTGAGTGTCACAACTTGCATTAGTGCATGAGGAATGTATGCCCGACAAGCTAAGGAGGAGGCAAGAAGGAATTCTCTGTATTTGCCTTGCTCAATGTTGCTCTTTCACAGCTCATGCGGGACTTTCGGCGTTAAGGGCAGGCAGGCAGGCAGCCAGGCTCCCGTTAGTCCGGGTGTATGGCATGTTTACTGGGGCCACGGGTGTTTACGAGGCCCTTCCCAGTAAAAGGCCGCTTTTAGCAGAAGCCGCTGGACCAAAGGAATCTAATCTGGTTTGTCTTTTCCTGTCTGCTCTTAGGCATGTGACGTGGGCGGCTGGTGGCCATCTTGGATCATAGCCATGAAAGAGAGACAGAGGAGTCTGGACTCCCCCCCGGCCCCAACAAACCCGCCACCAAGCTGCACCTGCTCGCCCCCCTGACTGAATCACCCTCCAACAGGATACAGCTGCTCAATGGCTCCAGATTGTCTTGCAGTCAAGTTGTAGCTAGGCTAGCTCACGTCACCCAAAGGACCTCATCCAAATTAGCATTGCAGTTGGAACACTTGCAGGTCATGTGATTACAAACGTTTAGAATTTGGGGGATCCAGACATTTTCGCCACACTGGAATAATTTTATTTGAATTAACTATTATTATTATTATTATTATTATTGTCATATTTCAGTTCACTCCCACATGGAAAGCTACAATGGGACAGGGCTTTTTTTTTGTAAAAAGAATATATTTGTAATTTTATAAAGCTTCATTATGTAAATGTAGTGCTCATTTTAGTGAAATATATTTTTGTACATGTAAATAATTAATATTAAATGTTCTGATTAAGTTGGTTCAAAAGAAAGTTTTAAAAAACTGGAAAGCAAGATTATGTATTTAATACAGCTAATACCTGCCAGAGATTATATTAAAGTATGGTTATTTTAACATCATGTTTCCTGACTTTATTTTTATTCATTCATTCGTTCATTCATCTTCCGAACCGCCTCATCCTCACTAGGGTCGCGGGGAGTGCTGGAGCCTATCCCAGCTGTCTTCGGGCAGTAGGCGGGGGACACCCCGAATTGGTTGCCAGCCAATCGCAGGGCACACAGAGACAAACAACCATATGCACGCCCACACTCACACCTAGGGATAATTTCAGAGTGTTCAATCAGCCTGCTATGCATGTTTTTTTGGAATGTGGGAGGAAACCGGAGCACCCGGAGAAAACCCACGCAGGCCCGGGGAGAACATGCAAACTCCACACAGGGAGGCCGGAGCTGGAATTGAACGCGGTACCTCTGCACTGTGAAGTCGACGTGCTAACCACTGGACTACCGGGCCGCCCGACTTTATTTTTATTTTATTTTATTTTTTGGGGTCAAATACAAATACACAAATTACCTTGTACAAATATCTAAATTATTCTGATAAAATATATACAGGATAAGCAAAAAAAAAAAAACAGACACCTTTTGTGGCTACTATTATTATTGTAATATATGCTGTAACATATGCTAACTTCCCCAGCATCTCAAAATGTTCATATCTTGATGACCCTTTCATTTTGCTAACCAAGGTCACCAACAATAATATGAAAAGGAATCAGGTGTTAGTAACTGCAAATCACAAAAACACAATTCAATGAAGTGTCAAACAAAATGGCCATTCATATCATTGTAAAAGGCAGAACCTTTGCACGGCTCCTGTTGTGCACCTCATTCATGACTGTACCTGTGTACTTGTCACTTCCTGTGTTTGTCCTGCCTCTCGTTTCGTCACTTAAATGTTTGGCCCAGAGTAACACAATGCACATAACATTACAGTGACAAGTGGGATGCTTACATGCACACGCGCGCACACACACACACACACACACACACACACACACGCACGCAAGC